CATTAACTACCGAGCTATGCCCAAAGGTTCTCTATGTAAATTCACCTACTGCCAATAGTCTGATGATTTTGCTGCGCAGTTTTGAGCGAAGAGGTCTATGGGTGGGAAGTTTAGTACCAGTTCAAAGGCCACCGTTGGAGTTGTTGTTAAAGCTCCGGTTATGCAGCACGCATCGAGTCTCTGAATATTTTCCATTGGCTTCCGGTATTAACCGTCGAGCAAAATTTGTCTTACACAGCTGTGCACAGCACCAGTGCATGAGAGCGGGAGAGAGCCTTCAGGTTCTGCCGAGTATCYGCCTATGCGTATACAAAGCATTACTAGCTTTTCTCATTCTTTCTTAAAATCAAATAAATAAATTTTCRCAGTTTATATGGCAGCAATATGGTGTAGCGTTCCAATATCAAAGGTTACGACAAATAATCACTTTTTGGGTAGAGCAAAACGTATGCGAAATTTCAGATCGATAATCATGTATATACATTTCTAAGGTCTCCGACATAACCTTCTGGATGTTACTACGATGCTTTCGTTTACATAACCGGAATGGATATGGATTTTTATTCCGAAAAATTCTATCAACTCGGCAGGGTTACTGAAAAGTAATATGTAGCATGCTCCGGTCTCATTTTCTTCTTTACTATTATATCACCCGAAGGTTAAGTGATCCATGTGTCCATAATAGCATTCGCCACCTATCGTACTTTTGTATAAAAGCAACTGCCAATACTAAACAGTTCTTTATTATATGTCTGTATATATAGAGATGTGTCTATATGGCGCTGCATTCCTTACTCTCTGATTAAGCGTTGCCACTGTGACTAACGGTTACATAACTGCTATCGAATTACGGAAACAAGTTCTTGCGATCGGCGTATGAAAATATGTGCGAACACTTATTTTTACAACAACATATRAATTACTATGATTGTACGTAATCACGTTCACTTGAAGACGGCTGATTGACCACAATCCAAGAAAAACACTAAATGCCATTGCCATATTTAGAATGTTTGGAATTGAGATTGTCATTAAAAAATATGCATACATATGTATACACATAAATGTATACTACGTAGTGGWACTGGGAACACCGTTGGCTTCTTKTGGTTTGCAGACCAGCTCAACACACCGCTGCCGGGAAGCTGTGCAGTCGCAAGGTCCTTCTGGCCCAGCGTAAATCGTCAGACGTCTAGGGAGCTCTTTGCTCTCAGCAAGGTTTACTTTTCAATGGTTGTTGGAATTCTAACTGGGCACTGTCCGATCGATAATCATACAATAAGATTGAACATCTTACCAGATGCCAGCTGCATCAGTTGTTTGGAAGGAGATGATATAGAATCAACTYATCACTCCAACCTAATTTCGAAGTCGCTAAATAGATATCAAAAAAATAGAGTTAAAGTTCGAAGCACCGGCGATCTCAATTTTGTCTTTCCACCATTATTCCGAAACACCCTCAACGCCAAGCAATGGAAATAAAGTCTTCGGAAATWCCTGTTTTATTTCCTATCCTCCACCCCATTTGCGACAGTAGTTCCTCCATTGCAACTGCAACATGTTGCAACAACATTGTTCAATGTTGCATAACACAGTGTTGCACMTCGAACATGTTGCATGTCGTTAACTTGCAATATTATTAAATGTGGCCATAACTTTTTGAACGTGACATTTCATAGCATAAATTCTAAATACTTTGTCAGGCCGCGTACACTTGAGCTGACCTCGCCACGGTCGATGGACGCAACGCAAAGCGGCCACCAAGTGRACAACCAACCAGYACATCGCATTTGAATCAGCCATCCATATCCACCAACTCTACAATTACCACTAAAGCAA